TACCATCTGAGGTGTTTTGTATCATTGGAGCCTTGAACTTTTGTCTTTTTTTTCCTTTTGAAATAGAAAGCTTTTCTGACACATCAGTGAAAATGAGTGCATGATCATGTCATATTTTTAACTTGCTAATTGTGTTTTCAAATTTGTAATTGTATTTGTTCTTTGTATACGTAAGTACATCAATTGCTTCAAAATAAATTGTATGACTAATTAATTTTATGTATTTGAATTGAATGAGTAAGAAGTCACATTTGAGCTATCTCAATAGAATAGCAAGTCTTTTGGAAACTGTATATACTTCCACCAGGACAGATTAGCTAGCCATTTTCTTAAATAGTTATTTCAAATGAAAAGTAGAAGGTTTGCACAAAAAAAAAAGAATCTGAGGGTTTAAATATCCATCTAAAAATATAAGCCAATAGTTACAATTGTGGCTTTGGCAATTAAGTGCTAACAGTGTGAGGACTCCAGTCAAAGTTCTTTGGCTGCTGATTAGGATTCCCTGGCAGTGATTAGTGAATGTGAGGATGTAATCACATCTGTAGGGTTTAATCAGCCCAATGATGGAGAAGTTAGTCCAAAGAAAACTTCTGTGTAATTCCTATTAGGGTTTTTTACATGCCACAAAAAAGGAAAAGTTTAAAAAAGTAGAGAAGCTTGTCCTTTTTAAAGAATTTTTATATGATTTATAAAGGTGTAGATGGTAGTGTTTTTTCTTGTCCTTAATGAAGGAGTATGATATTATTGATATCTGCAAACACGAGAGAAGATACGTTTTGGTACTCAGATATGCACCATCAGTACAGTGATATTTCATTTCACAGTATTTGGGTTCTCCATACTGTACAACTGTGTGCCCATTTTTTGTTTGTTTCTGTAAATCCAGTACTTTCAGTCTTTAACTGGGCAGTATGCAGTGTTTTAGTGTGTTTTTTCTTCTCAAATACATTCTGATTACATGCTATATTCTCAGTACTTTAAGTATTTCTCTTGACAAATATATTTGATAATATGACCCTCTACATACCTGTGATGCAGCTAAGTGAATATTTGCAAATCAATCTAGATGCAGGAACCCTCAGTGACTAGTTTTGTCAATAGTAAGCCCTTGAAAGGAGAAACTTTGGCATCTGTACTCTGTACACAGCTTCTCTGTCACCTTTTTGACTCTTGCTTTGAGTCAAGGTAACCCTGTTCTGAATCCCTCTGCATAACAGTCTCCACCATATGTTGTTCACCGGGATGAAAATGCTCCTAGTACCGCCTGGTGGGGCGAGCAACCCTCCACTGTCTTTTAGTTCAGTGATCCTGTTGTCCTACCCTTTCTGTGCTTCAAAGAGTAAGAGCTGAGTTTATGTGAATAATGCCAGTGCTTGCAGTTAGGCTATTTTGTTTGAATTCATTGCTTTCACATTATCATTTTATGACTGCTTTCTTTATTCATGTTTTCTGTTTGATTGGTTTTGTTGTGCTATTTTCTAGTAGTGCCTACATATCTGTGCAGTACTGCCAGAAATTCTCTTAATAAGAAGGTTGTGTCTATCCTACAAAGCTTATAATCTAACAGTGGCAATTGTGTTTTAAGGAAACCTTTCCCGGGAGCATGTTGCTACCCAGATTGTAATGTTTTATTTTAATGGCCATCTAGTCTGTGTATATCTGGGCAGTGCCTGATAGAATTAGTATGAGTGACTGTGGAATTGTCTCAGTAAAAATAATTCATGATGGACACTGGAAGATATTTATTCACATGACCCTTTAAAAGGGGGTAGGAAATCTTATGGTTATTTTCTGTTTATTTAGAAGAGAGGTTGATGGACAGCAGTTGGAGTATCTTGCTGAACAGTGCATCGGTTTGGAGAGGAGAAAAAGATCCCCCCCAAAACCCAAGCAAATAATAATAATAATAAAAAAAGCAAACAACCAACTATAACACCTTTGTGATTTAAGTTAGTGGTTTTGGAGACAGAAATGAATGAAAATTATGCTAGGGATGTGAAGTAAAATGTAGGAACCAGACTAAGAATCATGGTTTGAAAAACAGAATTGTATTTAAAGAACAGTACAAAACTGAGCCAAAACAAAACCAAAGCAAAACAGTAGCAGTTCTTTTTGGCCACTGTAGGAAAATGAATTAGGAACATCCAAAGAATAGAACAGTAAGATACCGAGTATCTTCCAAAGAGGCAAGTATCTCTTTTTTTCCAGCAAACTAGTTCCCACAGCTATGTTTTTATCATGTGATGCTGATACTTCTGTGTATCAGATTTTTATTTTTCAGTTTCTTTGTATTGCTTGCTAATGAAGGAAAAAAAAATTGTAATAATTCTGTGTTGTCTCTGAACTGGATGCTGCTACTGCTTTTCTGAGTTAAATGAATTATAGCACAGATGTGTGTCTATCTAATGGATTTTGTTTTTCCAAATAAGTAATGTCGTAGCATGCTAGAATCAATGTCAGTTTGTTACTGTAAGCATATGAGATGATAACTTCAGGGAAAAATAATCTCTCTCATTAAGTTAACTGCGTGTAGTTTGAAAAAGACCCAAAAACTCAGATAAGTTTTTGAGTATATAGGCCCTTCTTCAGTAGTATGACTAAGACTAGTAATTTTTGCTAAGTGGTGATAATACTAATTATTTTAAATAAAGAGAAAAGAGGAGGAAGACTGAAGAAATACACCTACTTCATAACTATAATTGAAAGTATTTACATTTGCATTTCTTATCTCTGAAGCTGGTTCACTGTTAAGCTATCATGGAGTCATTCATACAAGACTATCATGGCATTTAAGCCATGGTAAATTTACTAGCAGAAAACAAGTGGTCTATAATTGTAGCAGTGAGTGTTGGCACACACCTCGGCAAACCTCGGTGACCTGCGTGCTTCAGCCTGGTGGCACTCTGGATTTAACTCTGTATTCAGCACGTCTGCTTCACACTGTAGTCATTAGTTGAGACACAAGAACCTATACGAATAGCATCACCAGAAATTTACACCAGCCACAGTGATTTTGCGTGCATCTTGTCTTTTAGGTATAAAATAACCTTGCCCCTCTCTCAAAAGTATATGTAAATGTAGTTCTCTTCTTACTCCTCAGTGTAGATGGAGCACAGCGCTCTGAAACACTGTTCTAGAGTTTGAAGACCGTTCTGCAAAACCAGAGGTGGGACTGAATAAATTTAATCTAAATAACCTACCAGTCCTGATAGCTGTAGTCAGTGCTTTTTTCCTACCAACATGAAGAAAATAACACCTCAGCTCATTTACTTCTTCAGAAGAATAAAGCACTAGAGGGAAAGGTACTCAGCGTTGATGCCTGGCAAGGAAAAGCAAAACAAACCAGCTTTGCTGTGGAACTTCTGGCCTTCACTATCAGACTGATGTTGAAGAAGAGAGAAACATCAGTTCTTTCTCCCTTGTGCATAGTATTAAATGCCCTTGTTGCTCTCTTTTTTTTTTTTCCCCTCTGTTGCTGTGTTACTTTTTGTCTGCTTTCACCAGCAGAAAGGGAATAGGTTATAACAATGTTGTAGCATCAATGCTATGGTGTTTACAGTAGCCTTAGCCCCAACATAACAATTTGATTAACAGGACTATTTAACTTACTAGAATTTAAAATACATGGATTTTCCTAGGATTTTATGCTGTCACGATGATTCAGTTTTTCTTCTTGTTTTTTTTAAGCCACGTATCTCTGCAGGAAATTTGCAGGGATGAAATATGTATAGAATCTTCACTATTAGACGAGGGCAAAAAAATTAATGCAGTGAGTCATCATAGTCACTCCTGCATGTGTTTATAATCAGTACGTCCTATGGAGTTAAACATAAATCTGGTTTTGTTTATTTTCCCCTGTAGTATAGCCGTTATCAGTGAGATGCAACATTTCCAGTTTTGATATTGGAACACCCTGAAGGAGGCTTTGAAAAATTTCTGACATACAAAATATGAAATTTTAATGAGAGTTTTAGATAAACTAATAATTCATAGTGCAGTGAAGATGCAGGCTAATTTAGTGTAGTTTGGATTGCTACAGTCTGAAGCGATGGCTAAATTGTGTTGTATTACCTGCAGAAAGGAGGTTTCATTGCTTTAATTAAATTAGTCGTAGCTAGAGAGATTATCTTTGAAATATTAAAATATTTCCTCCCTTTCTTTTACGGATCCTTTTGCTTGTATAGCTATATAGCCCCGTGGAGCTGTGTGTGTTGGCAGTAGTAACGAAATAAGCAGAGATGTATTCCCTTTGCCAGAGGGCAAAATCTTGACCCTGCTGAGGTTAGTGGGCGTTTTTGCCACCAACACCAGGTCTTGAAATGAAAAATGCACCCTTTAGTTGTTTTAGGTTTTCTAGCAGGGGCTGTTAGTGCGACAGGAAACCTGAAGACTTACCAGTGGTATCTGTATCACATGCAGAGACATGAAGGTTTCTTAGAGAGTGAAACAGAAGCTTCTTTTCTGAGTCAGGTTAGATTTTACTCCATTTTATAGCAAGGCTTGTATGTTTATGTTTGACTCAATTTTAATCATCTTAGTAGCATGAGAAGATAAAATCATTTTTAGCTGATAAAGTTAAAAAAAAATTATCTCTCTTACTAGAATTTGACTATGGCCTTTTAAGCATTCATTGCTTCTAATTTCCTTTTTCTAAATTTGTATCCCTTCATGTGGCAATTTCTGTCCCTCTGCCTCTTATAAAGCAGTCCCCAGAAAGCACTATAAATGACCACCTGGCTTTCATTCCCCTTGTTTCCAGTTTGTGTTAATTTTCTGGTTACTGGATTTTTGAAGCTGATCACATTTGAGTATTTGGATGACTTCTAGCTTATTACTTTGCTTAAATAATTGCAAAAGCAGCTTCAATTCTGTGGTCTTGTTTCCGCTTTCTAGATGGCATTTGTGCTCATGGTTAATCGCAACAGTGTGTCTTCTCTCTAACACAGACCATACAAATACAGCAGTGACTTGAGAAAAGCTGTTCTGTTTTGTCTCTGTAGAAGTACTGCAGCACCGTCCAGTTGGATTCGGGAATAGACTACAGGAAACGAGTGCTTCCTGCTGCTGGAAAACTTTACTACCTGTAAGTTGATCTATGATGAGGTATTTGCCTTCTTTTTCTTCCTATTAGCCATTAATTTCCTAGTCAATAGGAAATGAAAAAATGTATAATACGATTAGCAGGGTGTGACTTTTCCTTTCTCTGCCTTCTGGTCCATTTTGTTCAGCAAACCGCCTTCCATTATGCCTTGATATTAACTTCATTAAACTACATTTTTCAGTATCCACACTAGCATCATTTATAGTGTGTGATTGAATAAAAACTAATTAGATTTTTTGGGGAGGTGTGGTGTTTGGAGAACTGAAGTGACAGATGGTTAGAAAGTAATGAATATCCTCTTGTAAGGATTGCACAATTCTCTTATAATAGAAGAACATCCTTATTGTATTTAAGCAATTAAGTATTTATAGAAATCCAATGACAAGGATTCAGTTAATGTTGGGTGTTTCCAGTGCAGTGGATTAAAAAAACCTCTTATTTTGACAGATTAATTGTTTCTGTTTATCATGACAAATTTACTTTATCTCTTTAGTCTATATTTGCAAATAAAACATATATTTAAAGAATACATTTACGGTTATGCTTTCAGATATATCTCTGTATAATGAAAGCATGTTTTTGATTTAAAATAACCTCAATGATAGGTTAAAATGAGATTTATAATCATAGTATATTTCAATATAATGTATAATATTGTTTTAAATATAAAGCATGTTTCCATTAATAAAGGCACAGTATTTTCAATGAGGTGATGGATATTTGAAGTGAAATATGCCATTATCCTATTGGTTGCAGTTGTTTGTATGGAAGAAGAAAGTACTGCTTAGTAAAATCAAAACAGTGAATTGTTTCTGAAATATGTATTTTATAAAATAGTGGAAATTAAATGCTGGGTTTCTTCCCCGTTTACAGTATGCCTGTTTTGAAATGTGATCCTTTACTACAACTGTTAAGTTCTCACATATTCCACTGTTATTTGCACATGCTTAGGCACCAGCTCAATTCTTGTCATTCTAGAAGGTATTGAGAACCTTGTATGTATAGAAAAATGTATGTCAAACGTATGGAGGTGTGTATCCACAAACAAGGTGTGACACTATAAGCTCGGGATGCTTTGAGCTAACTGAGAGCTAACTCTTGTTTCTTACTGTTGCCTGGTCCTAGTTTCTTTGATAAACTTTCCTGCTGGTCTCATAGCGATGCTGTTTGCAGCAGCCCCTGTTACGTCCCCGTTGCCTCTGGCCCTGCTCAGGCGTCAGCAGGGGCTCTGCCCGCGGGGCCCCTCGTGCTCTGTGGCCTCCTGCCCCACAGACAGCCCCAACTCCCGCTCGCGGCCCATCCTCCGAGGAAGCGGAGGGCCCCGTGTGTGGTGCCAGCAGGCACTGGGCTCAATCCGGCACCTCCTTCCTTGGCTCCCGGAGGGAGGCAGGGTGGGAATAGGCTGGGGAGCAGCAGCCCGGCAGGGGCCTGGGGTTCTGCTGCAGGAGTTCGGGCCACATGGACGGCAGACATGGGTCCCAAGGCTGCTCCCTGTTCTGTTGTTGGGAGGATCCTGGCTATTTCTAGAGCTCTTCATACAATGCAATGGGCAGTAGTGGAAAAAAAGGGGAAAATCATTTAGCTGCCTATGGAAATAAGATACTTGTTTCATCTTCCATTCTTTCCATCTATCTGTCTTTGGCAGAATTGCATTTGTTCTGATCAGACTTGTACTTTGGGATTTTCAATCCTGTAGTATCCAACTTTATGCTCTGTGTTTTTTTTTTTCCTCTCTCTCTTTTTTAAATAATGCACTACAAAATATTTTCCTACAGATTTTTAAAATTTATTTCAGTCTTTTCCCAAAAAGAAAATGTTCTTGGCCTGCATATCTACATACTGCTCTTAACGGATATAGTATCCTTTTTCTTTCCTTCTTTTTTTTTTAATCCTCTTGTTGCTTCATAATCTGTGTAGTCTTTTCTTCATTTAAAATATGCAACTGGAGGTTGGTTAAAGCTATTTTATACTCACCTGAAAGCAATCAGTGTAACATAATTACAAGATTCCTGATCAAAGCAACTTCATTGATCGCAGTCCCAGGTGTCTGTTTTCAAAACAGATTTTCTGGGCAACATATTTGAGTGTTTCTTCTTGTAGCCTTTACATCAAACTTTTTCATACAATGCATACACTGATACAGAAAAACCCCCTTTAGGACTTGTTTCTGGTTTTGTCTATTTCTATTCATTTGTCATTTTGTCACAGGAAAGCACTGCTGAAATATCAATGTTAACAGAGGAAAATTTTAGGAAATTAAAATTTTAATTTATGTAAACTTAAGTCATTGTAATTTTCTATTCAGAAAAAGCTTTTTAAGGTTTTGAAATGTCATTTGCAGAACACTTGTGGGATTTTTTTGCTCTTTTGCTTGTTTTTCCCCCCTTTCCAAATTCTGTATGTCACAGGAAAGCACTGCTGAAATATCAATGTTAACAGAGGAAAATTTTAGGAAATTAAAATTTTAATTTATGTAAACTTAAGTCATTGTAATTTTCTATTCAGAAAAAGCTTTTTAAGGTTTTGAAATGTCATTTGCAGAACACTTGTGGGATTTTTTTGCTCTTTTGCTTGTTTTTCCCCCCTTTCCAAATTCTGTATGTTCTGCATTCCAGCTTTGCTGTAGCTAATCTTGGGCTCAGAAGCAGCTTAAATACAGTTCTGTTGGTAGTGTTTTTAAGGTGTCTAGCGCCTAATGAAGAGGAACGTTACTGTCTAACATGCTGATCATCTAGACCTCCTCTAAATAAGGTGTGAACTATGCAATGGAGTGCGTCCGTGGCCTAAGTCAGTTGAATTTTGTATAACCTAGTTTGTGTTAAACTTTAGCAAAGTTTTATATAAAAGTGGAATACTGTAGCTTTAACTTACTACTCTGTTTTCAAACTCAGTTAGACCTATTATTTATCCTCTTTCTTAAAGAATGATGTGCACAAATGTTGGCCATAAAAACTCTATGGTGATCAAAAATATTCTGCGATCAATGGTTTGTAATCCTTATGGTTTCTGGTGGATGGTGAATGTAAACTTTGCTTAGGCACACATCTGAGCACAGATGTTTTCTGTGGGGCCTCACTGGCTGTGATTGATATTTTCCCGGTCACATTTGGGGAAAAAAAAAAGAAAAAGAAAAAAAATGATTAAATTTGTAATGCAGAGATCATTCTGGTATTTTGAACTTAGTAGTTTAGTTTTGCAAATTGTTTGTTCGGTGGAGTTGTTTGACTTGATTTTTTTTTTTTGAGAAAGCTGCTCCAATATTGAATTTCACAAAGTCCTTGCTCAGAAATTTGAAAGGATACTTCTTTAGATGCTTGACTGCCTTGCCTTGTCTATTTGCTCTTATTTTGCATGCAAGATAGAGCCAGAAGCCTTTTCTCTCTTTGTGTACACATAGTGTTAATGGATTTGCTCTGCCTGTATTGCCTCATTACTGGAAACAGCTCAAAACACTGAAGTCTTTCAATGTATGCAAATAAGGCAGAATCATCTACCTGAGAGTTAATATTCTCTACTTTTAAGTGTATTCTAAATCCAATGTTTGTATTTAGAGCATAACATCCTGTTCTCTCTTTTTTTCCTTTTTTTTTTTTTTTCTATGGGCAAAAAGCTAAGCAGGCTCAGGCAGCTGTTTGATGTTGGCTTCAAGTGTTATTAATTTCATATTCTATTATTCTTTTCACTGTAGCACAAGTGAAGCTGATGTGGAGGCTGTCATGGATAAGTTGTTTGATGAGCTGGCTCAGAAACAAAATGATTGTACGTAAGTTAATTTCTCTTGAAAGAGAATACATTTAGAACACAATGCCCAATCTCCACTGACCAATTAATAAGTTCCATTGCTGTATATGGGTTGATGCCACACTCAAGTGGCAGTCATTGTATCAGCATTTTGTCTAATTTATGTGTTGAATCATGTGCTATTATTCATCAAGCTATGCATTTCCTATCTGTAAGAGATGAATTTTATAGTAATTATCCAGAGAAGATTGAGTCTTTGTTCGTGTTCCCATAGTAACTAGACCAAGGATTCTAAAAGTGCAAGGCAGAGAGCTGAGGCTGAATAAAGCGTGTGGAACCATCGCAGACTTCACATTTGAAGAGCTGTGTGACAGAGTGAGTACCCAGGCAAATCTAGATCAGTTAACGCTCAGACTTTTCACAGGTAAATAAATAAAAAAAAAACATAAAATAAATAAAAAAAAAACATAAAAAAACATTAGTGCTGTTGCACTAATCATACTAAGTCAAAAGGGCTTTTTAAACTTGGAAAAAGTAAAAAGAACAACCTTCCCAAAAGAAGTTGTTTGCTTTTAATGGTACAGGAAATTCACTTTAATTATGTCATGGATCACCTTTAAAAATTCAAATAGTTGTGTCCAGTGTAACATTACTGTTGGAGTATGAGTAGTCACGGCATATCAATTTGTAAATGGTATTCAAATACTGTTTTTAAAATTGGGATTGAAGTTGGTGCTCAAGCAAAGGAGTTGTGATCTTGACCTCTGGAGTAATGTGATGCTGCTGCCATTGCATGCCTTAGTCATGGCTAGCTGTGCACATGCTGCTCAGTCCCAAGCCTTTCCAAAAATATCCCCAAACATTGCTAAATAGCACCAAATTCTCTACTCCATTTATGTTGTGATTGTATCGGGGATATGATCCTTGAAACGCTGTGTTTGTGTGTGACCTCGAGGTGGTTTGATTAAAGGCCCCCCAAAGCTGAGCTCTACTGCAGCAGCTTCTGCTGACACCTGAAGATACTGTTAAACCATCACAACTCTAACATGGGCTTATAGCATCTTTTATTCAGGATTTTAAACACTTCTTTAATTATGAGATCATGTTTTCACCTGCTTACAGCTACACAGGTTCTAATTGTTTGAATAGGAAACCCACTGGCTGTGTTTCAGATTGTAGGTTTGAGTTTTGTTGGTCTCCAGTTTCACACAAATCCAATTCGACTTTTTTGAGAATGGAAATGTACCACACATAGAACAATGTACTATTCACTAGAATTTTTTGAGACTTTTTCTTAACTGTGTTATACAGATATAAAGTATTAGGAAAAGATAGTGTGACAATGCTGTGAGTGCACGCTTGTTCCTTACCCTAATATAAACCTCTTAAACTTGTACGGGGTGCTAAATTGCTGCTGATAAGACGTGCTCTGAAAGGTGCTGATCTGGTGGAAACTGTGGGATCCAGAACATTTTTGTGTACAGGACTTAAGCTGCTTGGCTTACCATGAAAACAAACAAGGGTCCTTATGAAGCAACACTGAGCGGGGAATAAACATATGAAGAGTCTTGTAGGTTGCCCAGAAATTCAGAAGTTATGCTATCTTAATTCGGATACCTTCTGCAGATCAATTAAAATAGTCTTTAATAGGATAATCACACACTTAGAATTAAAATAACATAGTTGACAAAGGATTTGCTGTAACAACCTCCTCAGTTGTTGTGAATGTACATATGCCTGCCTTCCTTTTTGCCTTCAAACATTTTCTTATATATAATTGCTTGGTATGCCCTGATTTTTCTCTTGGAATCACTGGTTTAAGGCAACCTGAAGGTATTGGTAAGATGATAGGACTGTCCTCACTTTATAGGTATAGAAGTTAATCATGAACTTCAAAATTATTTGTTTGATTTGGGTGGCTGGCTTGAGGTGCCTCTAACCTCATTTTTGTAAAGCTGTTTAGCATTGTATATATAATAAGAAATTGCAATTGACTTGAACTGCTTTTAAAAGTTTAGCCCTTCAGTGAATCAAGCCCCTCAAAATTAGGAATCTGGAAAGTTGCAAAATTGGATAACATTCTCTGAGAAATTTGGGGTCAACCGCTATTTCTTCCATTTTGCTCCATTCCCCTCCCTTTGTCCTTTAAACTCTTCGTTAAAGGCAAAAAAAAATAATAATAATTAAAAAAAAAAATCCAGGATGGATTCAGTTGTCAAACCCCCAAACTGTGCTCCTTCTGCCTAAAATCTTCCAGTGTTTTGTTGGAAAAATTTATAAAAGAGATTTTTTTTTTTGACAAGATCATAACTCATTCTCAATGATGCCACAGTAGAAAGAAGAAAATTAGTAGGATCCTGAAGAGGGCATGTATGATTTGTAGCCAAAACCAAATGAAACCAAACTAAGAACTAGGCAAGACCCCAAATCAGAAGGCTTCACATCTAGAAATATCGAATTATTTAAATTTACTGATGCAATCTGGATAATAAATCTTGCTGTTTGTGGATGGATAAAAGCAGAAAGCTGCAGGAGATACAGCTGTAAGGTATTTGTTAGTGATTATGGTTTGGATGATAGAAAATTGATAGGCATCATGAGTGCAACTATCTTAGAAACAGTGGGAGGAGGAGGGCAGGCAGAATGTGAGGTTTGAGGAACATGTAATGAGAGCCTCGAAGAAGGAAAATACTGGAGGGCAGTTGCTGGCTTGTGGGAATCTGCAGATTTGCATGAAGCGTTGGAATGAAGCCCTGTGGAAAAACAGGTTGTGTGAACCGAGGCTGATGGGGAATGTGAGTCTTTCTAGCTGGAGCCTGGAGCCTCCAGGAAGGCACCCTGGGTAGATGCATGCGGTTAAGTTGTTAAGAGCATCTGAAACATGTATGACAGGAGGATTGAAAATGGGCTTTGCGATTGTGTTTGTCAGTTGTAAGACCTGGCGACAAGCAAGATCAATGGAAAATTATCACTAGTGAGGAAAAATATGATGTAATTGACATTATTGAAACCTCTAAGGACAATATGACCAAAACTAACTAGAATGAAAAGCGTAAACAAAAAAATATGAATCAGAAGGACTTTACGAGGAAACAGATGCTAAAAGGATACCCTGCCTCACTGTCAAGGCAGTGTGAAATAGTACAGAATGAATGGCAACTAATTAAGAAATGAAGAAAAATTAGAGACGCTAAAAGTAAGGGATAAATATATAATCTATAAGGTGTTTAAAGTAAACTAGGAGTTTTGATACAGTTTTAATTATCTAAATATTATCTGGCTTATTCCTAAATAGAGGTGACTAATCTTGAAATAACTTTGTGGAAAAACAAAAAGGTTTTTCTTAAAATGTTTTGTTCAAAATGAAGCAGAATGAAATACTTGTTTCACTAGAGGATAGTAAAATAATTTTCAGTCTGTGAATAACTAGAGCATGTTAAAAAAATACCCTGCAAATAGGTTTCAAGTCACCAGAATCCTGGAGAAGTAGTCTGAGATCTCTGACCATCTCTTTGTATTTTAGAAATGTTGGAATACAAGAGAAAGTCCAGAGTGCTAGAGAGTGTTAGCAATATATCAATAGTAAAAAAAACAAGCAAACAAAAGCTGCACAAGGAGGATGACCTGGATAACTACAGGCTGTCACAGGATTCAAACAATAGATACTTAAAAAAAAAAAAAAAAAAAAAAGAATTCCAGCTTACTTGATTTTGTCAAAAAGGTGGACTTCTATACTTTCCATTGTTATTAAAAAAACAATGGCATTATACAATGTCAACACTGGACTAAATGGACTGAGAAGTTAGCTAAATAACGTACAAAAAGAAATACTAGCAAAGGATTCTTGTTGAGTATGACATTTCTAATGAACTTCCACATGTCTTCATACCAAGCCTAATACAACCCTTTTTTATTGCTTTCCAACAGTTTCAAATATAAATACTATTTCAAATTTGTTGTAAATCCAAAGACTGCCATGTGTATGGCAGGAGCGAGGAGGAAATGAAAATGGGGATGCCGCGTGCATAGGGAACTTCTTGGTGGAGTTGGTGGTTTTGTTGTCAAAGTTTCAGAAAAGGTATTAAAAAAATCTGAAGAGACAAGGGAAAGCCACAAAAATTGCTGGAGCTGGAGAATTTGTGCCCTCAAAGACTTCAGAGCTCAGTTTGTTGAGTTTATCAAAAAGAAGTTGGAAAGGTGTTTCCTAACAAACATCTGTCTTCATAGGAAAAAAGTATAGGCATTAATGGATTCCTAAATCCAATTCCAAAGGACATCATGAACACCAGATGCTACAGAAATTCAGACAAAAAAGAACATATATACACATATATATATAATTATATTTGAAACAGTAAAGAAAATGCCAAAACTTCCTTGTATTATGTTTCAGTTCAAAAGTGGATGTTATTTTGCCTTTAGTTTTGGCTAAATGTAGTTTTTTTCAGCTTGGCTGTCTGTAAAACTCAGGAAACTGGAGGATTTCATGGTTGCTCCTGTTCTTAACCTCAATCCGCAGGTGGTCGAGTCGGGGTCCCTGCCCAGGGGTGGCCAGTGTCTCTGCAGCCCTCCAGGCAACAAGCCCCGTCCCTCCAAGGGGGTGACGTGGCCTGTAGCCTCCTGCCTTCAGCCCACTCATGCTTTTGGCAGGTGGAGGTTTAACTACTGCAGATCTGAGTAGGGAGCACTCACCACAGTTTGCTGGCACTTAAAACTTCCCTGGATTCAAGCAGAGTTTCACAAAAAGGTGAGATGCATCTCTGACATCAGTGCAACTTTTTTTTTCCCCATTTTGACATTCTTGGTCCACGGCATGGACCTACAAGTCCTCTTTGAGCCACTAGTAAAACCAAGTTTAACTTGAGCACGTTGAGCACTATCAGCCTCACAGTAACTCACTGAAACTTCTGCTAATAAACACGTGCTGACACGCACGGATGTACATTCATATTCATACGCTCGGTTTGAAGCATCCGTTCAGAATGGAAGCCTTTAGTGTAGCTAATATAGGAAGCTTTGAAGATGAAAACTGGTTTCATAGTGGAAGGTAGATGCTAATTCTGTCTAGATTTTCTTTGCCCATGTCCTATATAGTAAACTCACGAAGCAAGACTCCGTGTGTGAAGATTTTCTTGTGTTGTCACTATCTTCTAAGAGAAAATGTAATACAATTTGATATCATACAATACATAATGCAGTTAATTTTAGTTAAACTTCTTTTTTCTAAGCTTCTTTCTTCTATTTAATTCATAATTCTGAAAATATTATATGGTTTAGAGTGATTAGGATAATTAAGTGAGTGCAATGAAGGGAATCTGTTGTTTTTGGAAGTTATTTCTGATTACACTGAATTGCTGTGATGATATCTTGGAAGA